AATAATTTATTTTTATTGAGTTACATTTAAAATTTTCATAACAATTATGTTTATTTCTTTATATATATATATATATATATATATATATATATATATATAATATTTTGGAACAATTAAACGTTAAGAAAAAGAAGATAAGTAGATAAGTGACAAATTTATTTTTATATTAATTTTAAGCTTAATTTTAATCTCACTAGTTTTATCAAGATAAAAGTAAATAGAAGTCTTAATGAAAGATTAATTTGACAAAGTCAGATATTTTCAGGTTTGCTTAAAGATGATAGAGCGAGAAAATATATATTGTCACAGTTTTCATAATCTTTTCCTCGCTTCCTACGCTCTTGTTTCGCGATTTTTTACCCTCGTAGTTGCTCATCATTTTTTCCGCCCTTGCACCCTAAGCTCCCTTTTCTCTTCGAGCCGCCTGTACAACAACCTGCTCTTTCTCTCTCGCGAGCTTCTCTTATTCTACCTATTTTCCCCATCGGCGGTCTTAGAAATAACACTTTGTATATATTCTGTATACTGCCTATATTTGCCGGTTGATGCCTGCGTCGAATTATTACAAGAAGGGTGAAGAGATAAGCTAAGAGAAGGGTATGGACTGTAACAAGGATAAAAAGAAGCGCAAGATCCTTTTTCCTACCGTGTCCTATAAATAAATTGTAACCCACGCGTAAAATGGCTGACATAAATTCCGTAGACAGAACGTCCAAACCCACTTCGATCTCACGTCGACAAACATTTACTTATCGCTAGGTTTTTGGGCGATATTATTTACGAGGTTTGCATATTTTACTTCTTATTTCATTTTTATTTTACAATATTTTTGGAATAATATATTACTATAAAATTTAATTTAATTTCTCTCTCTCTCTTTTCATTAATAATTTTAAAAAAATTCGAGATTAATTCTATATATGATTCATATTTAATTTTCAGATATTTAATATTCAGTTTTCAATTTTACATTTTATTATCGCAAGTGATCATTATTTTCTTCTATATAATAAAATTATCTATAAAAAAATTTATAATGATAAACTTACAAATGCTGTAACTTAGAAATATATTAGAATAGAAATATTATATAAACTCAAAATTATACAATTAATCAATTAAAATCAGCAATAATGTTTTTTTCTCTTAAATCAAAGACATAATTTTCTGAGAAATTTTTTGGAGAAGGATTAAACTGTGTACATGTAATTATATTGTCGTAACTATCACATTTAGATTATCGAAACAGCACTACCTGGTTTATTTCAGGTCGTCAAAACACGGAGATTAAGTTTAACGCCGACGGGGACGCCTACGGATTTTACAACATTTATCAGTATCAAAGAAAGGAAGAGGGTCGCTTCGATTACATTCTCATCGGCAAGTGGAAGGAAGAGTAAGTAGAGGTCTTTGATTCATCAGGATCTGCAGAATTTGCCATTTGTCGTAGACAAATGCTTGGCTGCACAAATTGTTACATTAATCTTCGACCCTTCTATAACTTATACAACATGCTATTATAATTTAGTTGTGATATGACTATCAATGCCACTGTGTTTTTCTGAAATCTAATATATATATTTACATATTATCTGCGGAAAATCCATAGATAATGGCATACCAGTCATTGTCCATAAACTACTTACAATTTGAATAATATTATATTACGGATAATATTTTATTACATATTAAATTAAAAATACGTTTTTATGATATTTTATAATATTTTATCTAATTTTACAATAAAAAAATTAATTTATATTGTTCTTTATCAATTAGAAGTTTATCATTTTTTTGTATATTTGAAATATATCATATACTTCTTATTATTATATAATTCGGAATAAATTTATGTGCATTCATCTATTATTATATTATATGAAATAAAAATTCATAATAAATTCATTTATTATTATTGTAAAATAAAGAGAGATGAATATTATAAACATAATTCCAGCGATTCAAATAATCCGATATTAAAAAATTTTTATGTGTGCTATTATGTCCACAACTTACATGTGTTATTTTAAATAATTGGAAAAAGTCCAGAAAATTGATTTTGCTTGCATAACACTTTCCACGTGCCATTAATATGATGCAATAAGATAAAATCAGTGACGGTGTCCAGTTTATTAATTGAGGGTTAATTTACTCTCTCTCTCAGGCTCAGTCTGGACATTAACATGACACGATGGGCAACCGGAGTCGGCGAGTTTCACATTCCACGTAGCATGTGCAGCGATAACTGCCCGATGGGACACGTCCGCAATTTTGTAGTAAGTGCACATTGCAAAGTCAGAGGATAACCAGAACCGCTGAGTGCTGCACGGTTCTATTAGCTGATAGGATATTCACAGGAGATCTATCGATCCATCGAAAATGAAAAGAAAAAATTAATGAGATTACATAACGAATATTAATTACATTAAATGATAATGGAAGGTATATAATTTTTTGACGTCTTTTTAAATAAATATCTTACTTTATTAATACTATAATTTGCACGCTAAATTTGTATACTAATATTATGAAGATTTCATCAAAAATCCAACAGAGACTAAAAGATTTGCTGTTAAATGGAGATTAATGCATTGACTAAGTAATAATCTATTAATTCCCATGCTCTGTTGTTACATATCGAAATTTATTTGTGGTTTACCTCTAATCTCATCAACTCGGCTCTCAGAGTTAACAAATTTCAAAAATATGTTATTCAAATTTCATTTCAATTTATTTGTGCATTGATATTGAACTAATCTCCAATAATATACTTTTTATATCATATAATTAATACAATTTTTAATTCATATAGTAAATACATATTTTAATACGTACTTACTTGAATCTGCTTTAATGAAACTATGAGAGTATCTCGATAACAATTCAGTTTCTCTTGTACGTAGTTTCTATAATTAGATTCTAACACACATTTTGACTGAAATTTTGCCGAGAGTCCAACTGTACAATTCCCACAAACTCTCGTGATATGCGAGTTACGTACAGTCTAATAAAGTGTACCGCGCGGGCTATCTTCCACCTCTCTCTGATCTCTTCTCTCTGATTCTCACTTTCCGTCCTCTCGACGGACAGAATTTCATGCAAGTTAAAGTAGATCTGTAATTGTGCTCCAATCTCGGGTTTAGTTCTAGATATGCCATCATATCCGTGTGAATCCGACATTTCTTTTCAGACATAAATGGAACATATGCAGAACATAAGTAAAGCTGGTGAAGTAAATTATAACCGTGTAACACGGTTTGCGTACATGCATTTATTTGCCATTCAACAGAATGCTTTATTACTTTATCTTACTTACTTATATCTACTTATTACTTATCTACTTAACCATAAAAATATGATATTCAGATTTTAAAATTATTATATGGAGAACCCTTGAAATTCTCAGTCTTATTACAGATCCAAAGTATTTAAATGTTAGATAAAAAAATTAATCTATTTTAAATGACATAAAAAACAGTATTAAACTTTTTTGATCATTTAAATATTCTCTATAAATAATCTTTTCTACTTATTTCTACCTTTCTACTTATATTTTTTTCTATCTAATCAGAGAGATATTAACAATCTATTTTTTCGTAACAATAAAAAAAATCAACTATAAATTTATTTTTTAATGTTTATAATATATTTATAATTTTATGTTTAATATTTAATTGGATTAATTTAATTAATTAAGTTATGTGTTAAAAATAAATTTAGAGATTATGTATCCTAGGATTAAAACTATATTCATAAAACAGCTGTGCTTTGATGCTTAGATCCTTTGGGATAAATTCATTTAGGTCACATAATCGTAAGTTTTCCCTGAATATGGCTTAGAAATGTTTAAAGTGGCTCATTTAATCTTTCGTTATCAGTAATTAATGACATCCTACGCATTAAACTTTCTCTCAATTGGCGGTCTGCTTATAGAGCTCTATAATGCCGATAATTGGCTTTTCTTGGTCGATATTGAGCAAAGAAGAATTTGATATCGTGGTGAGTTGCTGTAGCCAGAGGCATTATCGAACGTCTCATTACAGTCACATCTTATCCTTCATGACGATTAATTAACTTTAGGATTTTGTTAAAGAAAAAAGATTATTACTCTTGCGTTTCCTTTACTCTATTAAGTCAAATATAATACAATTTTTATTCACCTGAAGCGAAAATACACTATCATTTATAATATTTATTTTAAAAATAATATAAATATTAAACACTTAAATAAGAGCTACTTGTTTTATCATCCTTTTTTATTCATATATTTTTATATAATATTTGGAACAGTTATCTGAAGAAACTGGAATTTTAATTTATTTGGAAAATACAATCAACAAAAAAGTTTTGATATCCTCATTTATATTTTCCTCATTTTTGTTTCTTTAAAAAATACTTTTTAGTAAATCTTTTTCTCTGCCTTGTTCTCTTATTATTCGTTATTTTTAAATTTTAATTTCGTAAATGATTAGAAATTTTTCGCATAAATTCCAAATATCCTTTTTTAATCTTATTTCACAAGTCTTTTGAATTATTTTCCTTTTCTCTTATTATCATACCTACTTTGATTTTATCATTTGTGCGCAATTTGCTTCCGCATTTAAAGACGATCATCCGCGACCTTAATCCGTGACGATCATATGTTCTCTGTATTATTCGTTTCTCCTCCTACATGCTTAGTTATACTTTTTATATTATTAGCCTGCAAACGCATATATTCGCAAGATTTTTAAGAGGAAAATGCAAAAAATATTATCATTATTTTTTAATATTTGCATATTTGCATATATGGGAAACTTTTTTATGGGAATTTTAGCTTAAATTCTATTCAATCTGAAAAGAAGGATCTTAAAGTCTTAAAGTTTTCTAAATTCCGTTTTTAGCTATATCTATCTATCGTCATAATCATTTCCATTTTATCACTCTTCCGCAATACGCTTCCGGGATAAGCTTTGCGAGATTTAAAAATTTAATCCGTGTGCTTAATCGATGGTTGCAATGATGACGAAAGAGAACTCATTGATTGCAATGGAAGTTTCACGATGTTCATTATAGATTCTCATTAGGAAAGTCTAACGCTCACAACTTGTGAAAAGCTGACGAAAATGGCGCAATTTCGTGTCTTGCGCCTACGATTGCCTTCATTAAACTCTATATTGCTTGCATCGCACTTCAATGAACCCACTTTTCTTTAAAAAAGGCATGTTACGTCAATACTTGAAAGTCTCGAAATGTATTGTTGCCTCCATGATGCTGGTTGGCTGGCTGCTGCGCTTGTGAGCTGCACTTGCTTCACTCGTAATTTGCACCTGTCAAATCGTATGAATTTTGACAGTTTATGCAAAAAATAAAATTAAAGAAATTTAAAAAAAGAAATTAAAGAAAAAAATGAAATATATTATTCTCATTGTGCGTATTTCATGAGTAGCTGTCATCGCAGAAATGAGATCACGTATCAAATATTTGACAAATTTAATCATATTTAAGGAATATTTGTCATTATATTGTAATAACTTTATATATATATATATATATATATATATATATATATATATAATTTTGTATATTTTTTTCGAATTACGAGAATACATAAAAGAAGGAGTGAGGAGCATAGATAGCGCGCGTCTTTTGTAATGTTCTAGTTTCCGATAAAATTTTTATGGTGTTTTCTACACGGAAGCGAACTTACGAAATATCTAACTAGATCGATAGTGTACGAGCAAATCAATTGCTCAACTATTCCGAATAAAAGTCAAAGGAAAAATTTCTATATTAAATTCTGCATCGTTTATTTATTTTTATTTTGTTAATTTATGTTTATGTTATATTATTCTCTCTTTTAAGACATAAAAAGTTGTGTTACCAAGTGCCAATGTTCAGTAAATTCCAATAATATTCAAATTTAATATAATTTTAATTTTTTTACATAAATTATTTGTAAGGATAATTATACTTTGCTGTTTTAATTTTAAAGACAAACAAAATTTAACTCTTTGGTTTTTTTGTATCCATAAGATAAATGATTTATACAATCTAGAAGAAATAACATAATATATTACATACTTTATGATCTTCGTGAGAAAACAAAATTGAAAAACATTTTCTAGTTTATAATTGCCGTTAAATATACATTTATCGCACATTTAAATTTTGTCCGTAAACGAAAAAAAAATCGAATATTTTTGTTTTTTCTGTCTCTTCCTCTTCATTAATATAATTGTTTTAAATATATAAATTGTGCAATGAAGTTTAATAAATTAAATAGACTTATAATATCAAAATAGTAACAGTTGAACCAATAAAATATTATGATATGAATATTTTTGCACACTATATTTGCACTGAAAAATATACATCATTACGATCTACGTAAATTCGACTAAATCAAATTTGACCCAAATCGATCCATTTATGTGCATTGTTGAAATTATTAATTAAATGTAAACACCTGAAAACATTACATGCATATGTATATATAATGCAGCTCGTTGCATTTTTTTTGTCAACCTATGTATTTGATAAAAAAATGCAAACATATCAGTAATCAAACGATTATAAATGTGATTCGTTAAGCGCGACTTAATTAAATAATTAATGAATGATACATCGGAAGCGACAACTGGTGCGTGATTCGTGTCACGAATTAGATTTATTCACTGCTCGATCGAAGTGTATTCTGACAAATGTCTATCAATAAATACCGCTATAATGGCAATTAAAACGATAATTACCGCCGTATTCACTCATTTCTATACGCTCACATGCATACTCTGTGTGATCCGTGAGGCGAATAATACGGTTCATAATTGTTATTATGATTACAGGAGTTTTGATTCTAGTAATGACATAATGATGGTAATCACTAGTCATTAGCGTTATTATATTATTATACGAATAATCGAAATTATGTACAAAATGTTACTAATAAGTTAGTAATAACCGTAATAGTTTAGATTAATTTAAATACGAGATAATTAATTCCTGATAACTTTAATATTCTCTTTCTCTTCATATAATGCGCGTAATATAATATACTTTTAATAAAGGTATATATATGTAATATTTATATACATTTATATACAATTAAATATTTCATTTTAGTCTCAAAATATTATATTTTGTTGCTAATGGACAATAACTAATAATAATAATAATATTAATTCTTAATGATGATTCTTTATTATTCAATCCATTTTTATCTGCACATTCTATTAATATTATAAATATTGGCTTCGGCAAATATTAATTTAAATAATGTCAAGCAGTTCTAAAATGTGATAGAATTCAGTCAGTTTTATTCCTAGCAAAAACTATTTATTATTTCAATATAAGACGAAATTCGAGCGGCAAACAAGATTGTTAGAAGTTCCATTTTTCTATAAACCTGCTGTAAATAATTTAAATCTGTTTGTTTACTATAGACAGGCAGGGGTCTAGTCGACCTGACTCAATATTTTTTTGGCAGTTGCATGAAAAAATGGATTTTTCCTAGATACCACTAGAACCATATGTCATATTGAAATGCGCTTTTTACGTCAATATTTTCCAACCGTTTAGACAAACATAGCTGCCGACATACAGTCACGTCTTGTTCAACAAAATCCACTTGTTTAATCTCTCGTTCGTATGCCAGTCGTAAAACTCTATTGAAATTATATTGGTTTTGCATTAAAATTCAATTTATCATATTATATTATTCAATTTATATCAATGTGAAAAACGCGATAATAAATAATTCTATTTTTTATCTTATTTGTTACTTTTATATAGCACAATAATTTATATAGTGTGATACACAGTTTAACGCCTAATAATATCTTTCTTTCCTCGTAATAATAAAAAAATATGTCATTATTAATTGATCATATTATTAATAATTATTAGTAACTAGATTAGCAATTAAAGTATTCATTATACTTTATTATTTATCATTCTTAAATCAATGATAAATTATATAATATAATATAATATAATATAATATAAATAATCAACAATATAATCAATACTAATAATATTAATTCTTAATGATGATTACTAATTGATTATTGATAATCCATTATGATTATAATTCATTATTCATCATGGATTCAAGACAATGATCGATTAATTGTCAATTATGCAGGAACCCTGCTGTTGGAGTTGCGTTGCTTGCCGGGAGGATGCCTACGTATACAACGACACATGCAAGAAATGTCATCCTGGATATGCCCCGAATGCTACAATGACAGGCTGCGTGAAGCTCACCGCAGAGGTCATACCTTGGACAAGTCCTTGGGCGCTTGTACCGCTAATATTCGCGTCGATCGGGATTCTCAGCACCCTCTTCACCACTGTCGTCTTCATACGGTGAGTCTATATATCGCTCCTTATATATTTGTTGCTTTTACATCTTCTATTATATTTGTATACTGTATTATGTGACAGATTTTTTAGCACAAGCTTTAGCTTTAGCACATTATTTTTTTCACGTGGAAAAATTTACAGAAATTTATAGTAAGAAAAATCTTAAATAATCAACGAAAAATTTTTGATAAACAAAATTTCAGAGATAATAAGCAGATCTATTCTTCAATTATTGTAAAAGTGGATTTTGCTTTAGAAAATTAACTTTTTAATTTGAAACTTATTATAAAATTGGATAATATCACAAGTCAAAAAGCATTAAATATAACTTTTCTTGATATTTCTAAAAAAAAGAATCGTATTTTTAAATTCGCCTCTGAACAATTTGCCATTAACAAATAATGAAAATAAAATAATGAAATAAACCAATAACAAAAAATAAAAATTTGTATTAAATTAAACAAAAGTATATAAATGCAATATAAAAAAATTCTTCTGAATTTGTTGATATGATGAATAAGTAAAAAGATATTCTTTTCCTTTTTAATGAAAAGATAACGAGCTTGAATGAGGAATAGCATTGAAAAAGAGTGCTTAAAAAAATTTAAAGTCGATGCTTTCAAAGCGAAAATTTGATCAAAAGCTTCATTAGCGACCTATTAAACTTACTTAATTAGAGTACTAAAAGGTTTACTACATTTCAGTATACATAGATATATGCAAGAAAAGACTAGAACTTTGGGATTTCAAATTTTAATTCTTATTATGTCTATTTATTTTAATTAATTAATTATTATTAAATCCATATGGATCTAGTTAGCACGGATAACAGCACGAATTTAGATCTTTCATATAAATTATAAATTAACAAGATTAAAATTAATTATCACACAATTCAATATCACAAAAGGATGCATAAAGATAAAAATTTTGAGTTAATCATATATTGTTGAGGATTATTAATTTAGGAAATAAATATCAAAGAAACGTCAAAGTAATATATATATATATATATATATATATATATATATATAAAATTAATAATATAAACAAAAAAATATTATATGTTTGTAGAATTATTATTTATTATTATAATTTAAGTCATTTAAATTATTTATTAAGTATAGATTATTTAAACTATTTAAGATACGAAACATAAATATAAAAAATACGATTTATATTACAAAAAAGATAGACTTAAAATATATTTGATACATATACTCTGTTCGATTCTTTCACTTTTAATATGCTTTGGGTTTTAAACTCTAGATTTAATCGTACTCCGGTGATTATGGCATCGGGACGCGAGCTATGTTACGTCCTTCTGATAGGCATTCTCTCGTGCTACGGCATGAGCTTCATTATACTGAGCAAGCCGACTACGTGGAATTGCACATACCTCAGAATCGGCCTCGGTCTCTGCCTCAGTATATGTTACAGCGCGATCCTTACCAAGACGAACCGTATATCGCGGATATTCAACCAGGGTACGAAGAAGATCAAGAGGCTCTCCTACACATCGCCCAAGAGCCAAGTGGTAATCGCTATCGGTGAGTACGAGGTGCACTCACCTCGGTAAACACATCGACAAGCCACGGCCTCGAGAGGATAATTGCACGCCGATGCTTGACGCAACTCTCCCCCTCACCTCTGAAATAAAAGCCGTGGACCGTGTTCGACGAAGGGAAATAATAGTGCGATTTTTACGATAAAATTTCGTATCGATATATTTCTCTCTAATTGTAAGATTGAGACGACCGAGTCGGATTTGACGATCAACCCTTATTTATTGCAATTTCAATCGAAATTAAAATGTCGCTATTTGTTAGAAATAGCAATCCCGAAGAATATATCTCGTCATTTTTTTTTGTGTGTGCTTTAAATTTTAAATAAATTTTGTGTAGAAATATATAAATTATGATTTTATCAAAATAATAAATTTCTTTCATAATATTGTAAGTATAAG